AAGAAATGTGTAATATTGGGTATGCGAATAAAATAAAATAATTTTATTTCTAATCGAGAATAGTAATAACTAATAACATTGATTTAAAAATTAAAAAGGACAAATATGTAATAGGTACGCAACTTGTCCGCTACTGTCAGCGGGAATGTACATGCCTTAGTCTATCATAGATTAATGTATTCATTTGTTCATTTGTTTATTTTAAAAAGCCTAGAATAACTATTTTAGTTTTTTTGTTGTGATTGAATAATATTATTCGTGGGTACTTGAAACTTCTTAAGTGTATTATTATATATCTATGATAGTAGCACGGTTTTTGTTGATGTATAACGCTTTATAAGTACCTAATGGATATTGTGATATGATTAATTTGAAATTTATTATAAGTAGGTAGGTACCTATAATAGGTCAATTTTTTGTTTAATACCATAGATATGTATATAATATGTCTTATACCAGACTGACATACCGTCTCCGCTCAGAATCGTTTTTCTTATACAATGATATTATATCGTTGAATTCAAATGTAATATCATCTATTACACAGTGACCCATTTGTAACCTAGGTACTGTACAGCAGAGCGACACCCACTTGCCCACCTTTTCGAACTTTAAATGCTTATAAAAAAAAACTGTGACTAAGGATTTTTAATATTTTTCATCTGCCTTTGAAACAATATACTAGGAGCATTCTATTAAATTTTAAAACCTTTTTGAACCAACAAATAACATTTTATTGATATATTTAGGAAAAAAAACTAAAAAAAAAATGGAAAATGAAAATGTCCCTAAACAGTTCAAAATAAATCAAAATATTTTGAAAATGTTATCGTGTATAGAAAATTCACAATAGGTACCTATCTAGGTAGGACGAAGGTACTTAATAATTCGAAACTGCAACGTCTTATTCTACAGAAGTTACTTTTCAAAATGTCCATTACATTTTCGTTACTTGGAAATAATTCTAATGAAATTACGTAACGCGTTACAAGCTAAGTAACGCCGTTACAGTAACGCGTTACTTTCGTTACGTTACTACCCAACACTGGTCATTACCCACAGAAAATCGTTAAAGGAAAAAATTATTTTGTTGTATTTTGTCCGTTAGATATTTTGAGTTTTGACCAATCGTAGAAGATTGTTTCTATGCGGCACGGACGACCTCAAATTCAAATATTATTATTAATATTTTTGTTCGACACATCACATCGTGGATAATGCGAATTGCGAATTGAGATATTATGCCAATTATCATTATCTTATAGCGTTTTCCCCCTGACTGCGCACTGCACGCGAAAACTGATACCATAATCACAGTATCATATAATTTTCCACACCGTCAAAGTTCATGGTGTTGACCAGTGTACACTAGTGTAGTCAGATGGAAAACGCTATTAAATACGTGGTGGGTAGTAAAGTTGTGATTGTCATGATTCTGTGGTTACTAATTTTAATGAAAAAAGGTCATTCGTCTTATCGTCTCGATTGTCTTATCAGTTATCAAATCAGTCGTCCCTCGTTCACTGGTGGTAGTTGAGCCGTCGTGAATATTTAAATTGTTAAAACTCTAGTCAACCTCATAGTTACTACCTTCATGTTTTTATTCTCGTTTAATGTATAAATAATAATATATTATAATTATTAATAACATTATATTCATTATTGTAACGGATTTTATTAATGCACCAATTTTTTATGAGGATTTCACTTACGATCGTTTATTTCTTTCAACTGATAACTTACACTATAGGTTCATTGTAACCGAACTCGACAACCACAGTACTTAAACCGGAATTTTAAGTATGTATTTTTCACTAATAATATAATTTAAGGTACCCGTATTTGATTTCTTTTACAGTTTAATGGCGTGTGGGGGCCGATAACGTTCTTGTGCATTTTTGTATTATCAATAGGATAATATTTAGTTGTGCTAGAATTAAATTTTTCTATGCGATTTGAATGAAAACAATTGTTACAACGACGTTTCTATTGCACGATAGATTATTTTAATTATTTTGAGATGTGTAGATTGGCTTGAGACGCCAATTGATGGACTCAACGAGTGAAATTCACAGGTCGTTACTAAGTATGTGTAGTCAAACTTTGTGCTTACAGATGCTCATGGATCAACAACGAATTTCGTATTTTTATCAAGGTCTGTTAAATTGTCCCACCTACTTGTACGAGTAAATATCAAGAGCAATCCTATGCCATTTTTTTTCACAAAAATTTGTAAGTGCAATTTTTAATAATGTGCTAGTAAACTAATTACACATAAAATCAAAATTATTGTTATATAAGTCAGCTTAATGTAGCCCTCCAAAGTATTCCAAGAACTTTCAAATTGGTATCAAATAGTTTCTCCGAATTTACATAAATTAGGAAATTCATTTTTGGGAATTTTGAGATATAGTTAATAAAAATATGTAAATAAATAATATTGATTTTTCTGGACATTTTTTATTTCAATAATTTTTAAACTTATATGTTTATGTTATTTATTGTAGTTATCACTTATGATATTAATTATGGTGGAAAATTACCTAATTAGTCTAGGCCTACTTGTAGTTGGCTCAGCCTTACTTTGATTTCGCATGCAGAAATAATTATTTTTTATAATTTAAGAGGAATCAATTTGAAAGTTCAAGGCAATCCTTTAGTATTAATAGTTAATATAATTAGTCCTATTACATACATTTGTATGGGTCGTGGCAAATTCTATATTCTGTCCCCTTACCTCATTAGTCATTACCAATAAACTTCGGCACCAGTTCAATGTGCGACCTACATATACATTTCGGTCCAGTGTGCGGCCCACATATAGCTATTGACCTATACTGCATTTTTAATAGTTATTAATTATTATAGTTATTATTATAACTTTATTTTATGATATATAATTTATGTTACAAAAGCATCTTTCCAGTCTGATAAAAATTCTTCAAATATAGTTTGGGTGAAGGGATATCCACTACTCCTCTTTAAGTTGTCTAGGTAATAATAGAGATGCAACTTTTACTCATATTTCATATCGCTTTTTCAGTATTTTCCACAAACATTCTATGGTTTGGGCATTTGTACCATTTTTGATGATTCACTGTATTCTGTATGTATCCTTCATTGTTTAATGAAAAATAAGCTCTCCATTTATCACTATGTATATTCCTAATTCTACTTCGTTTTTAACTGTAGGAAGTAAGGTTTGTTTGTCAAGTTTTTCTATGATGAATAAATGTCGTTCCAAAATATTTTTTTTTGCAACAACGTCCAAAAACCCACAGGCCAGTTACGTGTTCCATAATTTTTTAACTTAACTTTAACATAACTTTATTATTATCTTCTTTGGTATCATCACTATACTTTTCACTTTCCTCAGTTTTAGTATTTGGTCTAATATCACCACATTGAAGTCGACCACCGTTGTATTTGTGTTTTCCTTTGAATAACGACTTATCGATTTGAACTATCATATCTTTTCCTCCTAATTTTGATCACTTGTCAAATTTATTAATAGTCACATTGCGACATAAATTTAACCAATCGACAACTGTATTCATACTTTGGGCAGTAAATTACACACATTGGCCGTAGGTCGCACATTGGACCAGTGTCTAAAGTTCCATAAAATACTTTTTTTATTTAAATTTTTTTTTTCAACAAGAAATAAATGCATACAATAGTAGGCCTTATAAAATTCATATTATTTTTAAAATTTAATTTGATTTTGAACTACATATTAATTAAAAATGTATGTTTAGAACAATTATTTATTAGTGCATTTCAATTTAGAACTTCATTTGATTAAAAAACCTTCATCCATTTCAAAGATAAATAATTAATTAATTTTTTTATATTTTTTACAGTTTATTTTTAAAAAATATTTTTTTACACTTAGAAGTTCTAATTTTATTTTTACTTACAACTTATTATTTATAATCTCAGTATTTAAATATTGTTTTTTTGCATTACATGTGCCTGATTTCTGTTTATTTTTAATTATTATTATAGGGTCAAAATTATAGTTTTACAAAACCTTTTATGTTTATTAAACAAATGACTGGTGATGTCAATTCAAATTATCAAAATTAAGTTAAATAAATGGATTTTAAATAAACTACCTAATTACTTTAGTTTTCTGTATTAAATTAAAATGTAAATTTATTATAAAATTAATAAATAATACTACTTTGAATTGTGCATAGTTAAACTATTTATATACATACAGAAAAATATGTTTCTAAGATTATAATATTGTTACTTAAAAGTATTGGTTTTATCATTCCTATACAAAGGACTTATTGTAATCTTTTAATGTGTATTTCATTACTATGTGGGTTAAATTATGGTTGAATATTATTGGTTATGTACTTATGACAACTTGCCTATGTTCTAATAAACAGGTACCACCGGTAAACATTTAGCTTTGAGTTTACTGATATTTTAAGTATTAAACAAATGGAAGAGCTAAGAAAATTCTTCTCTCATTAATTAATAAATTTAATTTAATATATATCAAGTCATGCATCTCTAATTTACCCAACAAATATAATACTTGGTATTTATATATTTATATTTAAGTTAAATCTTTACCTACCTAAATATATTCCTTGAAGCTTTATATTTGTTTAAAAAAATAATTTTTATTCTATGAATTAAATTATCATTTTCTTATGAATTATAATATGTCACATACCTATGAATTATAATTTATGATAATTTACTTAATTAACTTAAACAATTTAATTTAATTAGTCAAATGTTGTCATCACCAAATTGTTTCTAAATTCAAAATTGATCACTATATAAATATTTAATATCTTGATATTTTGAATAGTTCCAAAGAAATGTAACTTTTTAATTTTGTTTTTTTCCCACTGGCGGTGTATATTTATTAAAATTAAAAATAGTGAAAACAAATGTTGTTTTTTACTGGTTAAATCAAAATTAATCTTATTATTTTTTGTTATCGTTGATAGGCAATATAGTTTGGTTATATGGAAATGCTATCAAATGGATATAGATGTATCAAAAAATGTACCAAAGCATTAAAGCAATCCTTATTTGATTGGATCCTTCATAAATTTAACGTAAATAGTAAAATTCAATTGTTCTTGTATCCTTACTTAAAGCTGAGTACTATATTACTAACACTATATTAAGTTTAAAAAAATGTTCATATTTTTTTTAGATAGGCCTTTTAATCTAACACTTTTTTATGTTGGGATCTTCTTAGTAACTTTAAACTATATATATATCAAATTTCAATTCTTTTATCAAAATAAGAATCCAAAACAAATATTTTAAATTAATTCTGTGAAGATTTTATATATTCAATACCTAGCTTATAATAAATGGTATAATGTAATTAATAAATGTTTCCACTTCAAGATTCTGGAACTTTTTTAATTTTCTTAACTCTAATAATTGGATTTTTATTTTGAGATTAAACTAAATATTTCTATTGTCGCTTACCTTTTATATTTTAGATGTATAGTAACATATTTGTTCACTATTTGACATGGTTAGTGTATAGTATTATATAGTATTATTGACGGAATTTCATCGAAAATTCTTAGTATTATTTACCAATTCATTTTTTATAAGTATAAAATATTATTTCAAAATCAAAACAAGTATTTTCAAAAATGACATATTATCACACATTATGAAAATTAATGTATAATAATTTCTTGATGATGTGATACAATTATTAATTTATAAACATAATTAAACACAATAATTGTTAATTTACTTTCAGTAACTACTATCAATAATTATGGGTTCAATTTAATATTTGAATAGTTCGGTTTTATTTTAAATATTAATCTAATTGTATTAAGGTTTCTTTGGGCTCAGTTCAATATCATAAATCAGGATTTATTGGTACCACTAATAATTTTAAAACATAAATACTGCAGTGCTTCTAAATACCTATTACATTGAAATTATATTTTTATTTCAACCGTATGATCTTTTTTATTTACTAATAAGTTATTTTATGATTTTTTCTTGACATAAATAAAATACAAATCGCAAGTTATACGCATTCATTTTTTGATACTTAAGTAGGTTATTACGTTTAATAACTTTAATTTCTAAACTTACAAATAGGTATACAATAAAACAAAATATATTATATGATATAGTCAAACTTGGTCAACTATAAGTTTAAGGAGCCAGCAAAGAATGTGTGTTACTCAAGAAAAACAAAAGTATAAAATAAAATTACATGGGTACATATTTATTTTTAATACAATATTATTTATTGTTCTTATATCTTCATTTATACATACAAATTTTACTATTTCTATAATTTATTATTTTTAAAAAGTAATTTTTATTTGGCAATTTTTGCTTTGCTACATGTGTGGTGAATTGTTAGATAAACTAATCAGTAACAATAACATTAATGACTTTATTTCCAAAAGTAATTATACATACAAGGATAACCCTTATATCACCAATTTGAATGAAATTAGTACTTCTAGTTATCCACAAAATATTTGAGTTAAAAAATTGTTTTACACTGTTTAAATAAGACATTCTCGGGACTGGGGAAAAAGTTTGAGGTATCGACAACTTTGAGTTAACCAAGCTCGACTGTATGTTACTGTATACTACGGTAAATTATTATAATACAGATTTAATAAATTCAATTATAATAATGTATTTATTAATAAAAGTATCACCGAAGAGAGGCTGTTTTTTATAAGTTGTATTACCATATTTTAGCTTGTATATTTATCGTAAGATATATCATTATCTTCAAAATAAGTCTAAAAAAAATGTATATAATAGAACAATATTAATTTTTAAAGATGAGCTCATATTTAATTACAAAACCATACATAATGTAATAGTAATATGTTATTCTTTAAAATGATATATAATACTTTAAAAAAAATGTTATCTGATAAGTTTATTAAATTATTAACTAAATTTATTTGAATTTAGTGTTCATTAATTAATTTGCATAATATTATAAATAACTTATTTAAAATAATTTATTAAAATGATTTTTAAATTATTTAAATTTTAAACTATCTATTGAATAATCATGTGTTAATGGTGCACTTAATGGCTAATGGATGTTTTCAATATGCTTGTTGTAAATGAATGTTAAAATCTATATTGTGAATAGCTGATAAACATTTATTTTTTTTTAGAATATATTGACCAGAACAATGAGTGACATCCCAGCAGCATCTACATCAACAGCATCAACATCATCAGCTTCAACGTCACAAACCATGCCATATACTTTTGATAACCAGTTTCCACTACGAGATTTAGATTGTACAACAACAGATGAATCAGAAATGTCGTCTGATGAAGAAATGATTAATTACCAATCGAGTGACTCAAATGATAATATGTGTAATCCAATAATTGACGATAACATGGACGATACTTCATGGTCGTCATCATCTAATACATCATATGGAGATAAATCACCTGAAATTACTGATGATGAAATAAAAGAGATGATTAGAGAGAGCTGGGCTCTTGATAAATCAACTAATAGTCAAGAAATCCCAGATAGTTTTACATCACCAATACTCATATTAGTTCAGGTATTATTTGAATTCATTAAAACATATCATTAAAATAAGATCTTATTTAAATATTGTATGATCAAGAGCAATAATAAATTGTTGTCTTCACCTATTCTTACAATGGAAACCTTATAAAATATAATATATGTTTGTGTCTCACTGGGTGATATAGAAAATAGATCCCTTCGCCATGACCTTAATTTATAATCCCATTTGTGTTATTTGGATAAATAATTTTGTCCTTTTGATATTGGAGTGTTTTTAAATTTTTCATGCACTTACATTAGTTGCAAATAATATGTTTAGTGATAATTAATATATCACTTTTGATTTGTTGCTATCAAACAATTGAAACCCATGTTACATATTTTTATCTTTAAGAAGACGTAACACTGACTTGTCTCCGTCTTACAAGTGCGTAACATAGTAAATTGTACACTGAGCAGATTACATTTAGCTCCGTTTGGTTAAAAATAAGAGTGACCTATTATAAAATTTTAAGGCAACTAAGATTATTATCTAGGCAATCTCATGTTAATAAATGTCTTTGTAACATCCTCTTAATTGCCTTTAAACTGTTATTTCCAAATTAAAAATATGAAATGCAAAACTGAAAGTATTATGAATTTCCAAAAAAACTTACAAATTATTGCATTTTGCACTCTATACTTGCCAATTATTTAAAACATTATGCATCATACCAGTCTATTATACAGTTACTCATCATACAATGTTTATGTCAACTCCTGAGCTGACATTTTTATGTAGTAAGCCATTATTTTTTCTAAAATTATTTTTCTTTATCCTTTTTTAAAACTGTTTTAATGGGTTAACATTGTTGGCCATTCATAGAAAAGTGGTTATTGATTCCAAATAAGTTTGTGATGTCGATGTCTAAATAATCAAGAAAAATATATATACTCACATTCATAAAGATTAATTAATTTTTTTTAAAAATGAGATATATGAAAAATTATATTTGTTAAGATTCAATGTATAATACTATAATGTGTATTGTTAATGTGGTGGTGTTGGTGGTGATAGTGGTGATAGTGGCGTGCTTTGAAAGGGGGGGGATGTAAATTTTTTATTGTTCTCAGACCATGTCATATATATAGCAGTAAGTATACTTTTATTGCTTTATGATAAATTGTATATGATAAAATAATCCAAGGGGGGATATGACATCCTTATTCACTAGGTAGTGAGTGATTGAGGGAGCTACAACTTGTCTGCTAACTTTGCTATCAGTTTTTATGGCCCCTCCATTAAAAAATTTGAAAACGCCACTGAGTATGTGTTATGAGAAATGTCCGAAACTTGGCTAATGACAGCATATTGGACATCAGCAACCAATAAGTAAAATTATCCAAGTATGTGTGGCTATTGATTTAATAACATTTCTGTGAAACCTCTGAATAGCTGACCCTCTCAATCACCAAAACTTAATCTGCTATTTAGAGGGGGCATATTTTTGAAGTTCATAAAGGGTTAATATGACATTGTTAATTATAATAATATATTTATAAAATATAATAGTGTTATAAATAATAATAATGATATAATAATTATTATATTTAACAATTTATGTTTAAATGAATATTTAACAAAAAATAAATACGGATTTAACAATAAAAAATGCATACATCCTAAAATCAATTACATTTGGTGTGAAAAAAATTGGTTAGCTTGGTCTAACTAACAATAATGCACAAAACATTGACTATCAAAAGCTTGATATTTTTGTCATAACGGACGTTATTTATCAAAATCTTTTTTTATGGTCCCATAACGAGTGTTATGAAAGTGTTCTTTATTGTTACACTAGTGTGGGAGTGTTTTTCTGTTGTTGTTTTGTCATTATTTTTAAGTGAAGATTAAAATAGATATCTGCTATTCAGGAGGCATTCCTATTGAGAATGTCTTCGTTCCTAAAAAGAAACGTCTGCTATTGGAAGGTGTCCGTCAGGAGAGGTTACACTGTATTGATAATATAAAATCAATTTGATTCAGTTTCATAAATTATGATATGTGTATTAACATAAAAAAATAAAAATATTAACTATAATATAAAACAAAATAAACAAAAAATGATTTATTATTACATATAAAACTAATTTGACACTTCAAATTCCACTATATTTCTAAACCCTTTATGGTATAAACTTGTAAGAGTCTTAATTGCTGAAACATTTTAAATACAATAAATAGAAAAAAAAATTCAAATATGACCAAGCATTTATGAATATTTTTAAAATGCATCAATCAAATATTTATATTAAACAATAATGGCTGTGTTTTCAAAAAACAATGTTGTTATATTTGTGTGTTAAATCATATTTTAATGAATCAAGTTGTAAAATTAAACATTAATGATAATCGGAAAAAAGTTTGGTTTTTTCTTTCAAAAAGTGCAAATTATTTTAAAACTACCTAACATTTAAAAAAAAAAAAATGGTTAATAAAGACTTTTATAGAACATTTTGACCCATTATTTTGATGAATTATAAATATTTAAAATGTAATCATTGCTTGTATACGTTGTTTGGATTTTTATGGATATTATTTGTTATTAGATCTTTTGCCTGCAGTGGTTGGGTAATAATAATTTTACGGGTTGGTATTAAGATTATTCACTTGTGTTGGTTGAAGTTTAAAGTATTGCCATTAGCCAAAATTTTAGGTTGTGATGACAAAATATTTTATCTCTATTGTCATACATACATTTTATTAGCAAACTCTTTTTCTAGTTAGTACTTTTGTTACCAAGCTGTTCTAGCCAAACTAGGTAGATATAACTTTTTAGCTGCACACCCTATACCCTATACTATTTAAAAGTATTAAAAACAGTATTAAGTATGTAGAACACTAAATTATGTCGCTATTAAAATGTTTAATATAAAATTTCCTAAGTTGAACAGTTGGAACATTAAGTGAGAAATAGAAAAATGGGTTTTTCTATAGTTTGCATGATTGTGTTGGACAGAGGTAACAGATTATTACTCAATTAATTAAAAGTTTGGGTGGCATTTTTAAGTGTAGCTCAAAATAAGTAATAAAAAAAATTAATTTTTAGTTAAATTATGTTTTAAATAGTTATTGTATGGCTTATGAAAATAATTGTACACCAAATTGTTTATTTCATATTATACTGTTATATTGATAACTGCGTACAAAATTGATGGCAATTAAAGGTTTTATAATATTATATAATTGGTATTTGTATGTTTTTCATTAGTCAGACTACTCAGACTAGACAAATATTCTTTATATTAACTGTATTATTGTATTTGTTGATACAATTTATATTATAAATTAGGATATTATAGTCACTAACTTATATATATTTTTTTTTTTCACAAAAGCAACCATGTGAAACTGAAGGCCAGGTAAATATATTTACATATAATGTGTTAAGTTAATTAAATTCTAAACCTTTTATTCAACTAACTATTGTACAATCAATAATAAGTTAAACATGCAATAAATTATAGTTATATATTTAATTCATATCTTTTGATATAAATATGTTTTCAACTATTAAAATTAAATATGTGTTTTGCTAAATGTGGCAATGGAGACTATTAACAAAATCTGGATATGTTAATTTTATTTTTTCTTCAATGTGGCTTGCTATTGTTATTGTATGTACATTAGAGATTCCAGAATTCACCGGTAAACATTTTTTAGTAAAATTAGGTAAATTGGTAAAAACTTTTTAGGTGTAATTTTCATTCAATTTTCAAATAAAGCTTACTTGCCCAATTCTTGCCTTCTCAAAACCTTTTTATGAAGTGTGTAGATGTAGGATGAATATTTAATCATATTTTTTTTCTATCTGCCAACCTATCTAATCTATATAATACATTAAAATACTGTGCTGCACTTATAGTCCTATATGTTACTTTGGCTATCTATATAAAAGTTGCACTAGTAAAAACATTAAAAAAGATGTGTAATCCGATTTTATGAACGGTAAAAAAATCTTAATAAAATTTACCGAGCTCACATCTCTAATGTACACTATAATTATTAAATTAATGTTTGTACAACCAAATCTTTATACAATTTGTGTATGTAACAACAATGTTTTGTAATTATAACTTTTATTTTTATTCATTTTTGTTTTAATGGGTCTTTTATTCATAGTAGTTTTGTAAGGCATAAATAAATAATATTGAAGCAAAATAATGATATCTTAAATACCTAACTTTATTTAATTTTAATTTATAACTTAATTAAATTCAAATTATCAAAACTAAAGAGAAACATTTCACTTTATTTGACCGATATACATTAAGTAATCTAATATTTAACTTGGCTTTTAAATCTATAATTTACAAATAATATGATTGTATGTTTTTAGATGAATGAAATTGGAATCGACCTGATCAATGTGGAAGAACATGCAAAAAGACTTAAAGAACTTGAAAAAGAAATAGATTTTATAGAATCAACAGAATGGATGTATCACCCAATAGACTCATCTATTAGATAATATTAATTAGTTTAACAATAAAATTTGTTATACATATTCACATTCTTCTATTAAAAGACAAATATTGTTGAAAACAAATTTTAAATTAAAAATATATAAACTTGAATGTAATGAATTTTTAAACAATATTGTGAATACTTAAAATTAATTATTGATTTAATAGAATATGTTTATGTTTTAATGTTAAGATAAACTAAATTTTTTATACATTTTTATGAATATTTTTGTAAATTATATTAATATTTACATTTGTTACATTCCTACGAGTCTTATTCTTTTATAACTTTTATAACCAACTAAAAAATAATTAATATAATATTATCACTATCCAAGAATTTTTGAAATAAGAATTACCACTTTTCATATTAATTTGTTATATCTTCTTACCATTTTAACTTAAGACATGGGAGTACTACTAAAATGTGGGTTTTGGTGTGCATCTGGTAATACAATTTTTTTCAAAATCAAAATGGAAAATATTATATTATTATGGACAACTTTTACAAGAAACTATGATAATACCAGTAATAATGTATTTTTCCTTTTTTATATATTTTAATACAATATAATGGGAAGTTAATGTTATTTTAAAAATTATTAAAGAACACCTGACCATTTTCCAGTGCTATACATTTAAAAAAAAAACATTTATTTTTATTTTATTAGAACTAGACAAACTCACTGTTTGATATATTATATTTTTTCTTTGGACCAAACAAACATAAAATAAATTGTCATCTATTAGGTTATATTCTATCTTTTTTTTTTTCATATATTAATTATTGTACTTCAATATCATCGAAAATTAAAGATTAAAACATTTCAAATATGTTTATTTATGTTCAATGGAATTTGGCACATGTCAGGGGCAACATTTGGATGGGTCAGGGCATGTGGTTGCACCCTTTACTTTTAAATAGTCCCAATTGGCCTGTGAATTAATGCACCATTATTTATATAATTAAATTAAAATTGTGTTACAGATTAACATATGAAATAAATAAACAAAATATGGCTTTCTATCGATTAATAATTGAAGAAAGGTTTTTTTTATCGGTCAAAAAATATGTAAAGTAATTTTTACACACAGGAACAAAAGCCTAAACGATATCATTGTTCTTAGAGTTGTAAAAGGTAGTTAGTACTTATGTTGATGCAGTAGTCCATGACGTATGGAAACAACTAAATGCACATCATATACATAGATTAATTTTCAAAATGGCCATCTAGAAATCTTGCACATTGCACACCCCACAAAAAGACCCGAATTGACATCCCTAGAACACATTAGCAATGGTTGATAAATATTATCAATAATATTTTGTAGCTAGAACATTTTAATTGTACACATATTTAAAAAAGCGGGTAAGTGGTCGCTCTGCTGTACAGTAGATTACAAGTGGGTCATTGTATAATGGATTGTATGAAACTTGAATTCAATGATATAATATTGTATAAGAAAAACGATACAGTACCATAATCGTAGACGGTTTGTTAGTCTGGATATTTTATACTGTTATTATTTATTATATCATGTAAGTTGAATTAATATTATAATATTATTTTAGATTCTGAGCGGAGCGAGGAAGCTAGTGGTTTTACAATGGTGTTTATTTTATTTTTTTTTTATATCCTGTAGGTATACAAAATTTATACCAGAAGGAATCCTTCGATTTCCACATATAGTAGCTTATCTTTTAGCAAATTGGATCAAGATGGTACTTTAAAGAGGTCATTTTTCGATTTTATCAATAGTTATTTAATGCCATGGTAAAAACCACCGAAAAATTACGAAAAACCGCTAGAAATTGGATTTTAATTTCATAACGCTTTGTGTATTACCATAGAAACGAATAAAAAATAATATTATAATATTAATAATTCAACTTACATGATATAATAATTAATGACAATATTAAATATCTAGTTTGACAAACCGCTTCCGCTCAGAATCGTTTTTCTTATACAATGATAGAATATCATTGAATTCAAGTTTAATACAATACATTATACATTGACGCACTTGTAATCTACTGTACAGCGGAGCGACATACACTTACCTGTTTTTTTTGAGTAGGTTCTATGGTGATAAACAAAGCGTTAGAAATTAAAATCCCATTTTTAGTGGTTTTTCGTAATTTTTTGGTGGTTTTTTCCGTGGCATTAAATAACTATTTATAAAATCGAAAAATTACCTCTTTAAAGTACCATCTCGGTCCAATTTGCTAAAAGATAAGGTACTATGTGTTGAAATCGAAGCACTCCTTCTGGTAGAAATTTCGTATATAGGTATGATAAAAAAAAAAAACACCATTGTAAAACCACTAGCTTCCACGCTCCGCTCAGAATCTAAAAGTGAGAATAAGTAAAAAAATATTCGTAAACAACTTGTGTAGAGATAACCTAGGTAAGATAAATAAGATATTTTCGGTGGCGCATACTCAAAAATAAATAGGGGTAGCAAATTGAATCGGTTACCTTTATATTGGCTAATAGACTAATGGCTATAGCCTATAATTATTTAATAGTTTATTTTCAATATTTTTATACGTAGTAGAATTTTTTTGATGTAAATATTTTGGAGTCAGGAGATCCATACCTACCCACCCACCCACCTACCAAAAAAATCAGGGGTAGCAAATTCTACCCTTGAACCCTCCATGTGCCATGGATATTTTATAATGACCCCCATGTTCCATAGATACGTATCAGCTTTTCAAACGATATCACGATAATATAATATTTTTGAGAGTGTTAACAACAAATTAACTTAATATCGTATCTATGTAGGTACTAAATCCGTCGTAACTATTTATTTTGTAGCACATTTTCCACAAAGACGCTCTAGCCTAGCAACCATCTTTGCTTGTCTACACAGAAGAACGCGCAGTATAGTTAGTAAATAGTTTATCCGTCGGCATCGTCTTTCGTAATAATATTCGTCTAAACAATACGCGTTTCGCAATGTCCAGCATGAAAAAAGAAAACACGGGCGTGCGCAAGCCATGTCCCAAGTCAAAGAGACGATGGATCGATCAGGACGAAGAAAGCGCGTCGAAAATTCTAGTCCACCAAGGCGGACTGTTGAGAATGGCAAAGGCCGTTATCGATGTGGCAAAGGCCGTTATCGATGGTGCGGAGGAGGACGTTGACGGCTTGTTGGAGGAAGTCGTTGACGACAAGACGGAGTTGGCCATGCAGGTGGTGTACGGGAGCAGTAGCAGCGGCGCCGTGTCGAAAAGCACGTCGGCGTATCCACCCGTGCCGCGGCACGCCATTAACAGTTCGTGGAAAAAGGTACCATTAGCTCCCGTGCTGACGGTGAGTGTGTCCCACGACGTTGTGACGTTGGTATGGGACGAGCGGGCGTCGGCGTCGATGCGTCCCAAATACGCGCGCGTCGAAGGCTACGAGCTGTTTGGATACCGCGGCGACATGCCGGTGTCGGGCGACGAGTGGAAGAAGATAAGGTACTTCAAAGCTGGCCAGTTGCCAATGAAATGCAAGTTGGTGTACCGGAGGAAGGACGTCGTCCACAACTACGCGGTGCGCGCGGTAGACGTACACAACAGATGCGCCCCCTGCGCAGTCGTGCAGACGGTACCCCGTCGGGGATTTGAATAATATGTGTTTATTTACGCACCATAGGTCTTCTTCACCATACTTACCCACCCCTGCCTTATTACTTGTGAGCTGCACAGTCTCTTCCACCCCGTCGACCTTTTTTTAATTGTACCTATTATATGTTTATTTGAATAAAATATTCAGTGTTTGGCTAAGACGTATAAAAAAATTATTACCTATACCTACTGATTTGTTTTATTTTTGTCATAATCTGATTGTAAGACCTCTATATCTTGAATACACTAGCTACAACAATTAATTAGGTATATATGTATTTGGCAGGTATTTATACAACATCATTTGAGCATATACGATATACCTAGGTATTGTAGTAGACACGTCCTTATTGCTTCAGTCTTGTAAAGTATTCGAATACAAGTATTTAAATACCATAAAGTCAGTTTTATTCATTTTATATTGTTTCTGTATTGGAGTTTATTAAGAAAACTGAAAATCTAATAATTTTAAAAAAGTTCCATATTAATTGTTAATACCACTTTTTATTTTATTTTTTTCATTAAAATTTAATCAATATCAGTTGAAATATATCTGAATGCAGAATGAAATATGTGAACATGTATTTATCTCTAAATAGTCAGACATGCGATAGTGATTGTTAAAATCTATGGTAAGTACTAAGTAGTAACACAATAGGTACCTATAATATACTGATGTACAATATACATATATATTATATAGCATACAATTTAAAAAAATACTCGTATTTGTATTGAGTGAGTACTCGTAAAATACATTTTTATAATAGTATTTCAATAGTATTAATACTTTTTTATTCGAATACTAGTATTATAGTATCTTACTTATTACTTTTTCAAATGTATTTTTTACAAGACTGTAGTATTGCACCTACAAGTCCATAGTATAAGCTCATATAAGTATTAGATAACTATAGGTACTCGTATTTCACAAAGCATAAGGAACCAAACAGTATAATGTATACATAAATAAGAATTTACGCAAATATAATCCAAATGAAATATAATAATTCTATAAAAAAGATGCCTTCATTACGAAACAGATAGACACACATGTTTCATCATAATATGAATAAAAAAATTGTTATTTCAATAAAATGTAATGTGAGATCAATTTTTAGTGACATCCAGTACCTAAGCGTTAGTAACAAATTGCATCGATTTTGAGCATTTTTTTATTGTTGTAAAATCTATCTTAATTAGACAGCATAAATGGGGTCTACAACGTAAATTATTGATTATAATATATTATTATAGGTACAGAGTTTATGAAAACATCTTCACGTTAATACCTACTGCATAGTGCATACATATAATCAACATCAGTTTAGTTGTACTTACTACAATAGGATATATTTTGAGAGTAGTATGATTTATGACTTATGACTACCTATATATCATAGCCATATAGGTGAGACGATTGTACATTTATACATAATACTATAACGGGTCTATATTATCACTAGGTCTATGATTATAAAATATATACATAATAATTTAATCATATGAATTGAATATGGTTAAAAAAAAAAAGAATTATAAAAAAAAGTAACGTTATTTGCAACGCACTGCTTTATGAAGGGTATTCTACACTACCGTTTTTTAGAGTAAAATAGACCTATCCGCGTTCCAACTTGAGTTTTACTCCTATAATAATTTTGAAAACATATTTGAATTTATTATAAAGTCTATTTTGAATCCTTCGAATCAGAATAATAATGAAAAAAATTTTTAAAACTATTTTATATCCATTAAAATGTTTAGGAATACAAGTTTTTTTTCTAAATTTCAAGTGAGGTTTTTTCTTTTTAAGAATAATAAATTAAAAACGTGTCTCGAAGGATCCAGAGTTGATTGAACAACAAAACAAAATTTGTTTTCAAAATTATTATCGGTGGAAAACTCAAGTCGGAATGTTGGAATTCGTTTAGGTCTATAATTTACAACATTTCGCCATGAAATACATTTGTTGTTGGGCATAATGTGACATGTGCATGCGAGTGCTCAACTACGCTTATCTAGCTCGCCGTCGCCCGTCAGTCACTCACACTAATGATCAATTACTGCACTCCACGCAAGCACGAACTATACAGATTGTCTAAAAATTGCCTATCCCCAACTTCTCAAAAAAGGTCGGTATGGAATCCCTTCAATGAAAAAGTAATGTAACGTGATAAAAATAATTTTAGGTAGGTACCTAACGCAAATGTAATTTAAATAAAAATATTTGAAGTAACGATTAACGTAATTTCATTACTTTTTAAAAGCAATTTACCCAACACTACCTACTTGTAGGCGGTTCTAAAATATTTGGAGTTTGACAAATTATTTGATCGTGTGAACGGAGCTGTATAATGGTACATACATAAACACATAGTATAGCCCGTATAGGTACTAATATATGTGTCTATGTAAAAATACATATATATACACATTATGTATGAAAAGTTTTTTTTTCTCATCGAAATAATTAAAGAACATTCACAGTTTTTACATAGGTACATCTAACTATAAAATATCTATTAAACTTTAAACTGGTACCTAAGTAACTAAGAAAGGTTCTATAATTATACAGTTTAAAGTTGTACCTAAGAACTAACAAGTGGCCGCCCATCAAGTAATATTGTAGGTACCTATGAAATTTACTGTTGTACTTCCACCTAGTTAATTGATAATATTTTACTTTAAATAGTTATTGAAATTATTATGTTAACTAAAGCTATATATTGAATGATTTTAATAACGTTTTTTTTTATTATTTCTAACATATATATTAGTATGAAAAGAATGTTTTTAAAAAAAAATAAATGAGTAAATGAGGTTTAGTAGATATCTAAACCTAATACATTATAACTATAGTGTTTTATATACAAACTTTTAAATGTACTAAAATTATTGAAAAAATAAAGTATCAAGTATTGGAAATAGAAATGTACAACCAATTTTTTAGTCAAAGCGTGCTATGGGAAGGAAATTTATACAAAAAGTATATAAATAAAAATGTTCCCCTATAATTAGGTTCAAATAATTTTAAAAATGGAGTGAGTTTCAAAACATAATAAAACATTTAAATAAAAAAATAAAAATATTTTACCACAGCTATATTTGAACCATACCTTGTGATGTTTCTATAAGGACACGTCAGTAGAACTTACGTCTTTGTTATATTACAAAATAAAATAATAATAATAAAGAATAGAAGGTGACACTTTCGTTAATAATATTAAATAAAGAGAGAGAGATAGAGTTTTAAGAATTCACAGTGATATATTTTACATAGCATTTTCAGATAATAAATAATAATTTTGGGAATATAATATAATTTACAATATAAACAATATAATAAAGATAATAATATAACAATAAGTATAGAATAAAATAACTTGATGGAGATATATCTGGATATATAAATTTCTCCTGTAATGAATATAATACTAATGTGAGTTGTGCTACGGCTCCACTGGGTTCCTGGGCACGAATCTTTTCATTATAGGAGTAAGATAGAACAATGGTTATTATTATGAGGAATATCAATACATAGGTAATTCTCCCTTATGCCACAGACCACGGGGTTACCGGACACGCATCTTTTACAAATTACAAATATGATATTAGTTCCTTGTGAACCCGTTTTTGGCATTACACCAGGGTTGCAAAAAAATAGTTTTTTTTAGGAAAGAAACATTTTTATTTGTTTAAAACAATGATGTTTCATTGTTATTTTGTCTGTTTTAAACAAATAATTGATTTTAAAAGTACTATAAAAAACCATGTTTAAAACAAATGGTTTTGAACAATTCGCAACCCTGGTTTACACGGAAAGAGAAAAACATTAGAAATGTAACATTATAAGTTTTTTGAATAATATGACTGAAACAGCAAGACAAGCTGGTTGCATTGCAAATAGAGAAAAACCAGGGGAAGCTCGGGGGACTGGGGAGTATACACAACACAATGGCGGACGACTTGAGTTGTTGATTGATGTGGAGAGTATCTCGAGTTTCACCCTCCATGGCCCATTATTGAAGTCTAGCCTGTTATATTGACGAAGACGACTCACGTGAAAAAAAAGACTGTCTTGCAAGTGGTGGCGGGTGAGAGCATAGACTTAACGATGCAACTTCGGCGTGGTCAGCGGCCTTTTACAATAAAATGCATCGAAAACCTATTAAATTATACCGTTGTCCAGGCGATTTTGTTGCGGGCTACGTCAGAGTGTTGTTTACATAATTTGTTTATTTTTCAAGCGGAGCGAGGAAACATTGCAGTGTAAAAAAGTATTATTTTACTAATATATGTTTTTTTAAGCACTTTTTGATTATGAATCGATCATTGATTGTTCTGCCGGTAGATTATTGTGAGCGGCTTAGGCGGTTTAATTGGAGGCGGGACGTGGGGCTCACGTGATTTGTACATAATATATTAATTTTTTTATGTACGCCACTATGCATAGGCAGGATCATATATTATATTATGCCTTAAATAAATAATACTGTCGTCGATTGGCGTGTAAACTCACTTGCTACGTGCTTTGGTAGTACAACACGTATCTGAAAAGTGAAAAAGGATTTGTGGGCAAAAGTTCTGACTAACACCTATTGAAGTTTGTAATCGGTTGATCCCACAGAATAGTATTAGAACTTCTGCACAAGTACGGATTGAAGGCCTCGGCCGATACTTGGGGCACAGACCGAAAGAAGTACCCCTGACTACAACAGCCACTATTGTGGCAGCTATCCTATATATTAACAAATTGTTATTTTTCACCTTACAAATCTTGATATTTAATTAATTTGTTCCTAATTAATGTAAAATAATAATAATAATAATAATAATACCTAATATAAATAATTTTATATTAAAAGTAGAACGCATTTGATTACTTTGGCTCAAACTACAATCGGACCTAGGAAGACAACTCTTAATTAGTATTTTTAATCAAATAAGATATACCTATCCAAATCTATTATTTCAACTTAATTGGGACCAACTTATACAGATTAA